CAGTAAAAAAGAAGTAAACAAACACTAGATGAACCCTAAACCAACCCTAAATAAGCCCTAAATTAACCCAAAGAAACTAAATTCCCAATGAAACTTTGGGCGAAGCTAATATGTCCGGTGGATTCAGGAGGATATATATATATAAATGTGGGTGCATCTCAAAAAGTACCGAAAAATCTGCTGCTTTATGTTTTCTTCCGTAAATAAAAGTTCATTTTTTTGGGGATATCCCCCCATTTATGGACAAACCAATACATCAGTCTCCTATATCATTAGTCCATAAATGGTCATATAATGGTTATATATCATTACTGACCTATGATCTTGGGTATCATGGTTACCATAACTCCCCAGCTCCAACGGATGATCAGAATCTCTGTTAGCTATGCGTTCAATAATTGCTGTACCTCCAGAATACAGATTTATATGGATTTATAGATTGGATGAGATCGAATTATATAGATTGGATATGATTGGATTAGACTAGATGAGCTTAGACTAGATAGACAGTGTCACATGTAATATTAGGCGTGACTCAAAATTTCCCCAACCTCCCCCGATGGGACATCATCCGAGCGACCCAATTGCCGGTGATGTCCCGCACAGGTGATACCTCGGGCGGAACCATCAACCCGCAGTAGGTGGATGTTGGATTATATATGTTGGATAGCGTTTGGACGCTTTTGGATGACTTTACTGTAGATGATTTTGGATAAGTTTCAATACTTGAGGATGGCTTTGGATGGTGTTGGATATTCATAAGAGTTGTGGATGATGTTGGATTATTCGGGAGCTTGTCTGGCTTTGGGGATTTTTTTGGGGTTGTCGAAAATTGAGGAGGGGCTAGTGAGGTTCACCAACAAACAACCGACCACAATTTACCCTCTGGTAATTTAACATAGCTATTGAAAATGGTGATTTATAGTGAGTTTTCCCATGAAAAATGGTGATTTTCCATAGCTATGTTAAATTACCAGAGGGTAAGTTCAGTATGCGAGAAAATACCCCTGCTGTGATGATCTTTGCGATCCCAAATCATAGTGTCATGGTTGGTTACTGAGTTACTGGGATTATTTTTTTCGGGGTTTTGCCACATCCACATGACCTGAAGAGGATGGGTCATATGGGTCCCAGTGCTCATGATGACCCACATTTTTTTAGGCCAATTTAACCCAGTGACCATGACACATACTCTGTGGGTGAAAATCTAGCAGGTGAGAGAGCAACAACAGGTTCTTTTGGCTCTGCAATCAACATAGCCCTCTCTGCAACGTGAAGAGAGTATGCAAACAAAGAGGAAATCGGTTTCGAGATCGGTTTCAGTACCAAACTTGCAAAATTCAAAGCATCAAACCCTCAGTTTGCAGTTTACGGCTTCCCTGGATCCATACCGGCTAGGAAATGTTTGGAGTGCACAAGCAGGAGACTTATCCAATCTTATCCATCCAGGCAAACCAAATCAAATCCTGGCAGGAAAGGTTTCCTTAAAAATACCATTAATACAGCATATATCATCATATACCAGATATATCGCTAGCTCTGACATTTTTACATCCCTGAAATTTAAGACGTGTTTACAAAGTTATCATTGGATTGGTTCAAGGGATTTCTTCAGGACATGATTCTGGGACTCAATTCTGGTTTGCTGGTCACTCGCAAATGGCTTTCCCAAACATTTAAAAAAAAACTGGGTACGAACAGGTTGAACAGACGCTCAAAACTCGTGGAGTTTTCAGAAATTCATCCAGCTGGGCTTCAAAATCTACCCGCAGCCCATGTCCAAGGAGACCGCTTGGCGCCGCTTGGCGCCGCTTGGCCCCAGGGATCAAGTGATCGAGCCATTGGCATCATTGAAACATGATGAAACACTTCACCGATTAACCAACTTCACCGGAAAACCATATAACTTGGAAATCACCAAACAGTTGAAGCTTACCCGTTGATTCTCCGATGTCTGTCATCTGATTTTTTGATTAAAAGCACTGCCTGGTGTCATCGCACGCCGACCAAGTCGTAATGCCGCGTTGCAAAGCAAAATGCCGAAGGAAACGCTCGCCCACTGCGCGAACCAATCGGCATCTCAAAAGGATATTGAGGTGTCTTAAAATGGGGGATCCCCAAAACCATAGGTTTTAATAGTAAAATGGTCCAACTTTGGATGATTTGGGTGTACCCCCCATTTTAGGAAACCTCCATGTCAAAATATGTGTCGAGGAAAAATAGAGGGGTTCCGGTTTGGTATAATGTGGTAGGCCTAATGCCATAAATTATCTTTGTGTGGGTAATTTTTATCATCTACCTGTTGTTGAATGGACGGAAGCCTCTATTTAATCAACCAGTGGGAAAAGGACATCTAAGGTATATTTCCAACAAAGGGGAGATATGAGATATGGATGATTCTCGCTGCTTTGGGAGCAAATTGGGATTTCTCAGCAGCCATTAGCCATCCATGTTTTTTTACTGGAGCGTCGCACCCCAACAGCAGTGAAGATTCCAAACTCAAGGCCACACAATATGGAAACAAAGTAGGCAACACAGTGGGAGACAAAGTTTGAAATAATTTGAGGCACACAGTGGGAAATAAGTGAGGGGCAAAGTAGGAGACAAAGTGGGAGATACAGTGGGAGACGAAGTACCAGACGAAGTGGGCGACAAACTGGGAGACAAAGTCGGCGACAAAGGAAAGGCACGGGAGGGAGGGAACAGACTAGGTGGTGTTCACCATGGTTTCCCACCAACCAGCCCAGAAGCAAGCAGAAAATTTAGCAAAAATTGTCTATTTCTGTAGTGATAAAAAGATGTCCTAACATGTCTTAACTACTTTGAGGATCGGCATATTAGTCGTGCCAGCAAATGCGAAAACTCTAGGCACATGCAAGAGAACCTTGCGGGCACAAGAGAAAACAAGTTCATTGAATTGTTAGTGTTGTGTTGAAAACCCTGTGCCATACTTTATATGAATTGGTCAATAGGAATTCCATTATGATGAAAATCCCCAGCGTATTAGATAGTATATCATATTAAAATATATATGATATATATATATATATATATTTATATATAATATATATATATATCATATAGTAATATATATCATATATTATATATATCATATATTATATATATAATATATTATATTATATTATATTACATTATATTATATATATATTATATTATATATTATATTATATTATAGTTTATTATATTATATTATATTATATATGTATATATCATCTATAAATTATATGTAAGATTATATATACATATATACCCAACTGTAATCATCAACCAACAGTTTTATCACTGCTGAGATGGGCCGGCCGCACGTTCAAAGAGCGCCAATTTTTCCCACGCGTTCAGCTGTCTGGAGAACACCAGAACTGACCTGTGCTGGGAAGATCCCTGAAGCGGGTGGCCGGAAACTGGTTTTCCGACACATATGCTGACACATACTCTGGTTTTCAATCTGGCATATATTCTGACATTTCATCTGGCATTCTATCTGGCATTTTTGAGCATTCTATCTGGCATCCTATCTGACAATATCTGACATATTGATATATTGTTTGACATTTTATCTGGCATGTTATCAGACATTCTATCTGGCAATCTCCGTGGCATATATTCATGTCAATGGGAGGCATGTCAACACAACATGTTTTTCTCTGCATTGCGTCTTTTGCACAAAAACAGCCTTGCAAACTCTAGGTTGTCGCTTAAACAGCTGCAGACAAACCACCAATACTTGTCAACCCCAAAATGATCCTGTCCTTCTTCTTCCTCTAATAACATGGGTTTTTTGGCTTTAGCCAAGACCTAGACATTCAATGAAATCCGCTGGCTGCAGGCGGCTGCAGGCGTGTCTTTTGGATCTTGTTTGTTCGTGGTTGTCTTGTATGTTCTGTATTTTGTCACCTGTGTCTAGACTTCCCCCTTGGCTCAATTTGTTTGCCTCGTCTAAGATTGAAACCCCCTTCTCGCCCAACATGGGCGCCAAGGCTTGGTTTTTACCATGTTTGCTGTCATTTCCATGTTTTTTGTGCGTTTTTCGTTGTTTTTTCTTCTGTGGGTTGGCTCCGTCTGTTGTACCCAGTACTGGAGATATAGGTATAAGATGATATAAGTTGCCATTCCATCCACTGGCTTTTGCACAGAACGCCTTTTGCATGCGCAGCTTCTCTCTCACTTTTAAACCCGCAATCATCTAAATCGATAAATCAACTTCTCCTGCTCCTGTTCTCCGCCGTTGCTCTGCTATTATCCTTACAAACCTGGCCTTTGTCTTTTCAGGTGCCTGCATGCCCAAGCTGGTTGCTACGCTATCCGCTATCATGTCTCTGGCCACGTGGAGTGTCTGAGCCACCATGGCTCTGGCCAGGATGGTAGCTGGGTTCATTCGTGCGTCCGGGATGTCTTCTTAAATCTAAAGACCACCTGGCAGATCCGGAAAAACTGAGAAAAAAAAACGGCAGTCCCCACTACAACTCCAACCTTTGTGTTGAGGTCGGCACTAGCCGCAGGGATCATCCCAGTGAACCTTCTCCATTCGGAAAGGCCCACAAAATAAAACACTCCGACTGCAAAATAAAACACTGCGACTGCAGCCGAGCTGGCACGCGGCCCCATGGCCGTGCGGCAGTCGTTTTTTAAGTGGCTCCAAACAATGCCATGACATCAAAGAGGGGTAACTCTGATCAGAGGCGTGGATCGAGCCCCGACGAAATTTGGACGCATTGAGACTCAACATGAACAACCGAGGATGAGCGGTGTGTTTTTGATCGCTTCCCATTCCTATATTGTTTCAACCTCACATGTCTCAGCAGACTTCGCCGGAAAATGTTTGGACCGTAACTCGGTTTACCCTCCCAATGATTGGCACACCCTGTGAATTCCCCCAAAGGAAACACTTCTGGAAAATTTTGAACCGGTCAAGGATGGGTACCCACACTTCAAGGGACTTCTTTGGGCAGCACACACTTTGTCATTGGCACCATGTTATCCATGTTTCGGCCATCATAGATGAGGAGGTCCACCAAATCTGGAGACACTACCAGCCCCAAAAACGCTCAACGCCTCAGAACATGTTCGAGCCGAGCTCTTCAAGAGTGACTCAGGGAGCGTTGTCTAAATACCTGAGCGCCAGTTGGGGCAGATGCAAAATAAGATGTATGCATACTTGCAAATGCAAACATATTTGCTGTATACATTTGCCGTACGGGCACCTGATATTCTAAGCGCTTCATTTTTGGCTCAGCTCATCAACCCCGCATCAACCAACATCCAAAATCCCTTTGAGCACAGCTCATCACCGTCATCACCGTCATCTCAGGCCAAGTTTCTTCACATCTTCCCCAGGGAGCGGGGAGGGAAAACCGGAGTCCTCGCCCAGGCATTCTCCGTGGTGGATACTCAGTGGATACATGGGGTCAGGATGGGTCAGCATCATAAGTGGATTCTAATTCTAACTATAGGATGATGATATTGGATGATTAATGATGATTATACAATATTGTACAAGCCAACTTTAGAATTTTGACAGCGACATGGGGTCGTCCAAGACTCAGGTGCTCCAAAATCCAGTGCTTCATCATATTGTTCCCTCTGGACTAAGCCACAAGGCGAAGTCGCGGGCCAATGGCAGCTGGTGGACAACTGCATTGTGGTCATCCCCTACTCACTCTACAGAGACAACTGCTGGCCCCCACGGGTGATGAAACGGTTCATCACCCCGTACCAGCCGGTCAGTTAGAGATGTGCTCATGGGAGTCAAAATGAAAACTAGATGGGTTTGTATGAAAGTAGAGCACCCCATCATCATGTTCTCCTGTTACAAAAAAAAGACAACGTTTTTTTTACAAAACCCAATTCTACAGGACTTCAAGCCACCAGCTTGAGGATATTCCAACACATCGGAGTTGAACGTGAAAAATTAGACAAAAGGACCAGCGCCACACCCGCCACCCATCCTCTATCTCTGACAGCATCATCTTGCCATCTAGGATGGTGTAAGCTTTTGTAAAGAATTCAAGCTCCTCCGTGGTGCGCAAGTGGAAAAAAAACACCCCTCAAAGCACCCCGGCAGATTTGTTCACCTCTTCATCTATAGGAAGCGTCCAAAAAAGAAGACGACGTCTTCTTAAAAGGTCCGTAGCGCCGGAGCAGGCTTCGCCTCCGGATCTTTCTGATACACGATCTTTCCTTTGATGTACCTCAGCACCCAGGATGGAATCCCGGCCCATATAAAATTGCTGGTTCCCACCATAAGCTACCAGATGACTTGGGATGTTCCATGGTTTTCCTAATCTCTTTGGACCCACATGACTTAGCCACGGAAGATAGAGCCACTCTTTGCATCATGAACTCCCCAGCAACCGCATTTCCTGGTCAACCATGTTTTTTTTGTTTTTTTCGATCGGCAACCCTGACTGCGCTGATTTGGATCATATCCTGATTTTGGTGGGTGATATCCCCATTATTTGGTTGGTTTCGTTGACATTTGTCGTGATATTTATATCAAACATGGCATTGGGAAATCTCAAATGTGTAGATGATTGTCCTGTTCAAAGCTCCATATTTTCGGGGATTTCCCAGCCATGTTTGATGACAGATTCCAAAAAGCGATGGGCCAAGAGACTTGTGACGAGAGAAAGGGTTCTGGGTCCATTCTTCTTGCCTCGGGGACCAAATCTGGGCTCGGACCATCTTCAAATGATGTCTTAGCAACAAAGGCCATCGAAAAACCTTACCAAAGCTGTCAAAATGATCTAAAAGATACTGTCAAGAATGGATTGAAATGCACGAATTGAGGATTTGATCATTTCATGTACACTACACCTCCAAATTCGGAAAGCCTCGTTTCCCTTGGGACGAATTGCCACAGAACAGGGATCTTGTGCAGTCAACAACCACAGCACCTTGATGAAATGATCCATCTGCATCCCGCTGAATAACCTAAAGACTTGATGAATAACCCCGTTCGGCAAGTGACCTAAGTGGAGTTGATGCATATAACTGGGCTTGAACGAACTCTGATTGCAGACCAGTTGTCATTTGTTTGATAATCCTTCAAGTAGTTCAAACATGTTCAAACCTCTCTCCATTTGTGTCTGAAGATACCCAAAAATCAGGCTACACAAATGATCTTCCCAATGAAAATGCTATTTTGGCGATATGGTGTCCCAATCAAAGTACTATTTTTGGGGGCCAATCGAAGTACCGCAGCCACTTGGATCACCACAAGGCCCGCGCCACACCATTGTGAGGTAGTGCTTGTCCACCTTGCTACCAGCTGCGCCCTGAGCATGGATTTTTGGACGCCTTCAGATCAGATGCTTCAGATACCCTCTGGCAATGACTAACATGGCTATTGAAAATGGCCATTTATAGTTGATCTACCCACTTAAAATTGTGATTTTCAACAGCTATGTTTGTTGACCAGAAGGTATATACTTTAGACATAATAAGGCAAAAGGTCGATCTGAGATGTGCAGATGTGTCCCGCAAAAGCGGTGGAGAGTGAACAATAGCTTTCAGTAGGTAGGGATCTAGATGAAAATAGTTTTGCAATGAGGGGTGCCGTTGCAAGTAGTAGTCTGTCACTTTTTGAAGGCTCCCCCAATTCACAACAGTGACCGGGATTGCCATTCATCAGGGGGTGACATTTCATCCATATCGTGGCATGGGTGAAATGCCAGAGTTTCACCAACTGGGCATCCCCCAACTGGGCAGCCCAACATGATGAATCAGGGCGCGTGGCGCGGTACCACCTGACCTGGCTGGAATGATATGTTGTTCTTCGTTTGTCATGACAGTCTACAAGGTTCCAGAACCCAAGGCAAAAAGCTGGAAATGATGGGCCGTTATTTTTTTGATCGCCCTTTTCATCCACAGCCGAAATGGTCAAATTGATGATTTGGGTACAGGTCCCTGACTTTTGGAACATCCGGAGAACTGACTGACAGGGAGCATCATCGAGTCAAAACGTTCATTTTTTGGTTATTATATTATATTATATTATTTATATATATATATTATATATATATTATATATATTATATATATATTATATATATATTATATATAACTACCTTTTTAGCAGGGGGGGACCATACCTATCACATCACATTCCCCTCCAGATCGGTGAATCAGATCCCATCGCCCGATCGCCCCAGGTACCCATCGTCAACATCCTCGATACCAAACGACAGGGCATTCATCGAGGCCTCGGTTCACAGGGATTTGCTGAGTCGGGGTCGGGGTCCCCCAAAAAATAACACAGATACCCTCCGGTAATGACTAACATAGCTATTGAAAATTGGCCATAGAAATAGTTGATTTACCCATGAATCATGGTGATTTTCTATAGCTACGTTAGTTTACCAGAGGGTATCACTAAAACGATTCCCCAGTCATGGTGGATGTTCCATTGGGAAAATAAAAAATCACCGACGAAAAAAGACCAGGAAAACCTCATGGATGGTCCCCAAGCGGGCCTGCTGAGTGAAGAGGTCTGCGATGGGTTTGTAGAAGGGTTTCGACCTCGTAGTGAGCCGGCGGCGAAATATCGGCTGGTGGTATAAATCACTTCAGAATTAGATATAATTGACATGTATACCCTCTGGTAATGACTAACATAGCCATTGAAAATGCCCCAGTCGAAATAGTTGATTTACCCTTTAATCATGGTGATTTTCCAGTTCGTTATGTAAACGTTTACCAGGCCGGGTAATTCAATAGAATTTCAAAGTTGATCATCCCAGATATCCCAGTGAAACATGTTTTGCCAGCAAAGTTGACTAATGGTGAACCTGGATTCAACCCTGGAACAGGTGCAAAAAAAAAGCCAGAAATCAGACCCAGTGACCTCAAGGTTTCGGACCTAAATGGGAAGGACAGATCTCTTATCTTGGTCAAACTTGAACCAAGTGGTGACAATTTGGTTCCTATCTTTGGGTCTGGTGACCTGGTATATTGCTAAAAAACCAACACATCTCCGAGTTTTCTGTGAAAAGCCCCGTGTTTCTCGGTCAAATCTCCACGAGCCTTCCAGGATCGTTTTTGTGCGGTCCCTGCGAGTGCGGGGAAACAAGTAGGATTTGAGCGGCAGAGCAACCCTCATGGTAAAAAAGAATGAAATGTTGACTCCAACACGGTTGATATCTAGGCAATCTAAGGTGTCCCTTTCAAGGCTCGAAGTATGAATAGACTGGATGATATATCTAGAATCTAGAATCTAGATATCTTCATGTTACTGTGCGCCTGTAGGTTTGACAGTTACACTATTATTTAGAATAAATATGCATTGTACATGACATACCAACATAGCTCTCGAATTTGGGCTGTAACCACCATTCCCAGCCCCAGCATTTTCGGACTTCACAACAAGTCTAATTTCAGCCCGCCAACATTGAAATTGATCCAAACATAACACTTAAGAATACTTATACATATGCGCTCTACTCGCCAGAAAATTAGATATGATATGACTTAACCTCTGGTTATTTAACATAGCCATGGAAAATGGCCCATTTATAGATGGTTTACCTATTAGAAATGGGTGGATCTTTCCATGGCTATGTTAAATAACCAGAGGGTAAGATTCTTTCATATCCAAGCCATATTTTACTGTCCGGTTGATCTCCGCAGCGTAACACAGTTTAACACAGCGCTCAGCGATGGCCTTGGCTTGTCGACACAAGGTCTCCGTCTCGATGCAATGTGCATCGTCCTTTTGAGGCTTCACCTCGGCCGGAGCTTGGCCTTGGCCGCCTTGGCCTTCGAGAGGTAGAAGCCAATATCTCCAGATATATTTAAACTTATAGCTAAATATATGGAATTGATTGGAATTGTATGGATCACGTAAATCTGTATGCATAATATAGGTATATATATACATAGACATGTTTTTACCAGTGGCCTCAAGTATTCTGGGTATTGTTGACGGCATTTGGAGTACATCGGCATCGTCGGAGCTGCTGGAGCTGACCAGTGGGTTGGCTCTTGGGGGATGTAGCCGCGGTCTACCAGAGCTAGCTTTAGCATGGTTTAGCGCCCTGAAAACTTGAAAAGCAATGATAATTTTCACGTTTGTCACGTTTGTGTTGCAAGTCACTCAAGCCAAAAAGAAGCGGCAACGCAAGTCCAAAGTTTCAAGAGGTGTACGAAAAGTAAGGCTACAGTGGAGTGGCCAAAGCGGGACCGGGAACAACGCAAGAGAGCAAGAGCCAGGGAAAGCATCGGGCCTGACAATATTTCACTTCAATGGCCATGTAAAAACATCTAGCGGAATCTAGCGCCACACTAACGCAAACCTGGCGCCAAGGTGCAGGAAAAGAATTTCTCACTGCCCAATTATGTCTGATCGGGATGCCTCAAAATTATGATCCAGACCAAGGCTTTGGCAATCTAACGGTTAGAGCGGTTAACACATACCAACAATGGGTGAAAGGGGTGCAAAATTTGACCCACAAGGCCCAAATGAATCCAAATGAATTCTTCACCACTCATCTCTTTCTATTTCCCTCAAACGCCTTAGAAAGCCTGTCCTGTACTCACACAGAAACATTTGGGTCTTTCGGATCGCGTAGACACGGTCACTGGGTCCCGCGGCCCACCAAAAGTCAATGTCCAATGAATTGGCTGCACTCGAGCAGTACATCACTGCCTAGAGAGGATCAATGGGAATCCAAGGCCAATGTTTCAAGGGGACGGGAACGCCACATGCATGTGTCCAACACTGGGGGATGCCCCCCCAAAAAAAGGCAATCTTGAAGTGGAAAAATGATGATAAACCGCTGGCTTTACGGGGGCCCTATCTTGAGACCAGCCTGCACATGGGTGTGGTCAAGGGACCGAATGGAAGCCCAACGGACCTCTATCAGCTTCATCATCCCAAATAGGGAGTGTGGATGCAACCGACTTTTTTTTGGCAAATCACTGATTGAAATCAAGTGGATCTTGGGCCAAAATTTACAGGAAACCACCATGTTGACCTGAAACATAGGTCCTAGGTGTTTCCTGTTTTAATGTTCCCTACGTTCCCTCAGGACCCTTCAACACACATGGATGGAACCATCAGGACCAAATTCCCACCTGCATGCCGCAAAAGGCGTTCGGACCTGGCTCTGGGGATGAGATCAAACATTATCAGCCTGCGATTTCGAAAGCGATTGTCTTTGATTCGCAGGTACCCATCTAATAATAGGAAATATCAAGAAATAATCCAGAAAGATCAAACTAATCGTATTTATGTCCAAACTCATCCAGAAATATTCTGCACATTTCTGTACTGTATCTGTTGGATTCTCCATCGGATATCCATTGGAGCTTGGGATGCCCAGATCCTCCAGAATTATGACGTACAGAGGTAAAGATCCAAAGACCACATTGACTTTAATGAATTTGGCTTGGGGGGTTCATAGGTCATCCAATTGATAAAAACTCTTGAAAATACCACATGATTTTGGCAAAAAATTCCGAAACATGAAGCTCATCATGACATGAAACTTGCTGTGAGGTTCAAGAACAGCCTCAAAATATGCCTCGTATCACCATTTTGGTGGCATTCACCAGGAAGTCACTGGCGATCATCCTTCTAGGTCCTAGATGGTCCTAGGATGGAAAACATGAGATATGGAACAACCAGATCTGACTCTCCCCTTTTTTGTACAAGCGTACTTGTCCAACATATTTTATAGGGTTTGTCTCAAATTTTGGAACCGTTTTGGAATCCTAGATGTCATTATCATGTATAATTTTGTGTATTTTAATGGCCACAAAAGTGGTGGTGTTTCCCAATGATCTAACCCAGCGAACCAAGGTCCTCCGACATCTGTGGTACCCAACATGCGCCCAGGACAAAAAAGAGCGGCAAATATGCCTGCGATAGTCAGTGAACTCTGCAAATGAGGAAAAAGGTAGGTGGTGATTTTTTTCGGTCCTCATTCAGTTCCCCATTTTTGGGTTCAGTATTCGAATTTGGGGTAGCTAAGTTTGTCGTATACTCAGATCCGACCCTACTGGCTGGTGCCATTGTCATCCGGTTCACGGAAATTTGGGAAAAATATCAAAAAATGAAACGTCCGGTTCCGGATCATTTAGGTGGTAATGTGTTTTGATTCAGCCGTAAGGCCTTCAACATTGAATCGCCTGACTGGTTTGCAACTACATTTCGGAGTTTCCCCTGTTTTTCTTTGAAAACTCAAAACACAAATTCATCCTAAAAATATCAATGCAGGCGCATCGGTATCATAATCATCATCATCATCAACAACATCAACATCAACATCAACATCAACATCAACATCAACATCAACATCAACATCAACATCAACATCAACAAACAACAACAACAACAACAACAACAACAACAACAAACCGATTTACCTTCATACTGGCCGATGTGAATCAGGATTTCCACGATGGGTCATCATCAAACCCCAAAAACAGTCAGTAGAACCATCTATCAACAACCACCACAATGCACCGTTAATGGATCAAGATCATCCCAATAGCCACAGTGCTATCTATCATCAACAAAAAATACTGTCTTACCGGTGAAATATATCCCCTTTATATCGCCAGAAGATTCAAACAGCCATCAGCCAAGCATCATCACTTTTTATTATAATTACCGGGGGTAAACGAGCATAGATGTGCAAAAAAATGGCTAAATCAGTTTGAGTTCCCCCATGGGTTTTCCACGTCTACTTTCGTCTACCCCAGGGTAAATAATCATTAAATCCCCATTAAACTATTTGAAATCACCATAAAACCCCATTAAATACGCCCGCACCAAAGGTGCTGGGGTGTGATAGGAGTGGAAGCAACCGACAGATCTGTCAGACCGGTGCAGCTTAAGCTGCGGGTTGGGGCCACGTTCGCCCGGGCAAGGCGCCAAAAAATGTACGGGACTGTGGTAATTTGCACGTTTCGCAGATCGGCCCAAAATCGTCCAAAGTTTCGATCCAACATGTCCGCAACATTGGCCCGACTTGGGGTCAACTTCGGCCAGCAAGGCCCCAACTTCGGCCCAACTTGGACCCACTTGGCTCCAACTTCGGCCCAACTTGGCTCCGAGATAGCGCAACTTGGCCCCAACTTGAACCCATTTGGGAGCAACTTCGGCCCAAGTTGAGGTCCATATGGCTTCAAAATTGAGGACGTAGCCGGCCCGATCCGACATCCTCAAAACGCCCGTTTTCACTGGTTCCCATGTTGTGTCTGCGTTGGGCCCAACTTGGTGCGAAGCTGTCGCCAAAGGGTCCCAGGCCCAAGCTGCGCCACTTTGGACGTAATTTGGGGTCCATCTGGAGTGCTTTGGGCCCAACTTCAGCCCAACATGACCAATTGGCGCCAACTTGGGCTCCACTTGGACCCAACCAAGATAATACAACTTGGGCCCAGTTGGGCCAAGTTGGGCCGCTTTGGGGGCAACTTGCGTCCAAACGTGCCCAAGTTGCGCCATGTTAGACCCCAGTCGTGCTCAAGTTGGGCCCAAGTTGGAGCCAACTGGCCCGAGTTCGGCTCAAGTGACGCCCAAGTTTGACCCAAGTGGGCTCCTGTTCGGCCCAACTTAAGGCCAAGGAGGGCCAAGTTTAACCCCAGTCGGCTTTTGGTTGGGCCAAGTAAACCCGCTTCTTTCCTCTCTCTCCGTCGCGAAGCGACTCGAATCACCCTCAAATCACCATTCAATCCCATGGGTTTTTTCCTACGGGCCTGTCCCGAGACCAAGTCCTTGCACTTCATCCCCCGCGAGAGGTTCTTGGCGATGCTCCAGATCGCAGGCTGCGGCGGATGCTGCATGGATACTACGTGGATATGACATAATATAATATATTATATGTATGCTGCGTATGTGTATATATATATAACGATAATGTATGAATATAACATGAATATTATGTTAATGAACGATTTACCCAGTTTAACAATCGGTTTAACACCTCTTTTACGTCACAATTCCATGAATATTATGTGTATGTTGTGTATATATACATGGATAGTATATGGATGTTGTGTATAGATATAAATGTGGATGTTACAGACGTGTACAATATGTATACATATATATATATGTATATATATATATATGTATATATATATATATAAATATATGTATACATATGGACCGTACTGTATATGATACTGTATACTGTATATGGGATTGTAAAGGGTTATATGTGGGGCTGTATGAGCGTTTAGTTGAATATAGAAGATCATTTACCCAACTGGTTCCACATTCTCCAAAGTTCGGTGGATAAGGGCTGAGTGGTGGTAAACCCAATAATAGTAGACCATCCCCAATATCGATAAATGGATGCAACATGGCGCAATTTCAACCATCCCCAAATGGTAGGTTTATTGTTGGGTTTACGACATGAATATCATGTTTTCCTGGTTAGGTCCCAATTTTACATGGTAGAATATGGATCACAGCATCATAGCTGCCTTCTTTTTCTTCGTACCCTCCTGGGTATGGTGGATCCTCAAGTCACACTCAGATCTCCGTACTTAGCACCAGGGTAGCCTCCAGTGAACTTGGCGAAATCCTTCATGTAATTAATCCATGTTTTTCCATGATTTTCTGTGATTGCGGGCAGGTGAGACCAGTTCAACTCCATATTTTTTTGGGGCTGATGAGCTCGTGAATTGTCCGAATCCTTGGGCCCCACATCTCCAATCAACCCTTGGTTGAGGCAACCACCTCCCATCTCAAGAAAATGCATCAGTTCCCTTCATCCCAAGTAGTAACTGGAAATGTTGAAACCACCAATTACACTGCGTATATCCCTCTGTTTCTTATTTTTATGGAAAATTCTGCTTAAACCCTAGCTCCGGGTCCGGGGTTCCGCTCAAGCACTCCAGGCCTCTTTTTGGGCATTTCAGCTTTAAAAGTCTTGTCTGGTGCCATCTTGAATGCATTGAGGCGATGACACCCCGGCTCTGACGCCGCACGCGTCCGTGCAAACATACTCAAGACGACCGGCGCAACCAGTTGGAAGCATGGATAATCTTGAGATCAGTCAAAAGCTTGAAAGTAGATCGCATAGCAGTGAGCCCTGCGAACCTCAAAGCTTGAAAATTCACTGCGAAATGGGAACCACTGAGGCACCCAGCAGATGGTCTAGATTCCGAAACCTAGAGATACGGTACGAGTAAAACAACAAAGTGACTGCGTGTAGAGCAGTACCTTGCAAGTGCTCTGGCTTCTTCAAGCTAAGTTTGGAGTGTCAAAAGTTGCCCCCTCCATTAGAAATAGCCAGGCCTCGGAAACCCTGGTAGTTTCCTTTCTGGCCCCCTGGATGCAGCGCTCTTCAGAGGCTAATCATCACGGTGGTCGGCCTCGGAAACCCTGGTAGTTTCCTTTCCGGCCCCCTGGATGCAGCGCTCTTCAAAGGCTAATCATCACGGTGGTCGGCCTCGGAAACCCTGGTAGTTTCCTTTCTGGCCCCCTGGATGCAGCGCTCTTCAGAGGCTAATCATCACGGTGGTCGGCCTCGGAAACCCTGGTAGTTTCCTTTCCGGCCCCCTGGATGCAGCGCTCTTCAAAGGCTAATCATCACGGTGGTCGGCCTCGGAAACCCTGGTAGTTTCCTTTCGGCCCCCTGGATGCAGCGCTCTTCAGAGGCTAATCATCACGGTGGTCGGCCTCGGAAACCCTGGTAGTTTCCTTTCCGGCCCCCTGGATGCAGCGCTCTTCAGAGGCTAATCATCACGGTGGTCGGCCTCGGAAACCCTGGTAGTTTCCTTTCCGGCCCCCTGGATGCAGCGCTCTTCAGAGGCTAATAATCACGGTGGTGCCCTCGGAGTCTGACTCAGAGTTCACCGGAACCAGGTCTCCCTTCACCTGCCGCTGCTTCATCATCAGGTCCATGGCCGATTGAAACTTTAGCACCTGGCCCCATGGCTGTTGTGGCTGAAGTGGCTGGTGACTCAGGGTATGCATAGGTCCCCATAAAATTTCATCTGCGGGAAAGTAAACATACACAGCCTTCAGAACATGATTCGCAGGAGGGATAGATGAGATTAGATTGGTACCTTCACTTCCAATGTCCAATTTATAAACTATCGAGCCTAGCCGGTCCTTTTGTGTCGGGCAAACACTATCATGTGTCAAAAATCGTTGCCATAGCCTTCAATGTACAGCCACCATGCGCTGACATGCTTAGCAAGCAATTGAACATCGACACAGTATGAGCAGTCATTTGAGGCCATCTGACACCCCAATCCACCATGGCCCAATGGCATTGCCTGGTAAAAGATCGAGTTCCACAGGCCTATTATCATTCGGAGGTTTCCCAAAATGGATATCCCAAAGTCAACATAGGTTTCAATACTAAAAAAAACAAAAACTGGATGATTTGGGGGTACCCCCATGACTTAGGAAACTCCATGGGTTATACAATATCCCATGGCTTCCATCCTCATCTCTGGAAAATCGCCCCAGCACTTGGCAGAAAAAAATGATCAGTGTCATTTTTTGTGGATGCGTTTCTATCCGTTGATTGAATGGAGATTCAGCATCCAAGGTCAATTCCCCTGTTGTCTAAAAAGCATACAAGATGAGGCCCCCCTGTTTTTAGTTGGTTTATATCAACCCCATTGGCTAGACTTTATATCAACCCCATTGGCTAGACTTATATCCCCCCAGTTGCCCTAGTTCACCAGTTATGTGCGTCAACTTGACTATCGTTTGGAGGCCTCGCATTTCAAAGTCAAGCCTCGACCCCATGATATCTATCGCGAATCTCACCTCATCCCATTCCAAAATCATCACAACAAATCCCAATTACATCATATCTTCGTATCTACCTATACTTCTTAAAATCGAATAGAAATCTATATATATATACTGGTTGGTGGTTTCAACCCCTCTGAAAAATATTCGTCAGTTGGGATTACTATTCCCAATATATGGAAAAATAAAAAAATGTTCCAAAGCACCAACAAGTATGTATATATATAATTATGTATACATAATTATATATATATATAGTTCATTCTATTTCATTATATTTCATCTATTTCTATCGTCTGCCTTTTGAACACCCCCCTTGCGTCCCCCTCCCAGCGTCGTATTTCTATCGTCACCTTCACCTCGTTGTGGAGAAGGTCCAAGACCTCGGCATGCGAATTCTGCTGGTTGCTCTCCTCGGCGAAGTCCAGGGCCGTCTGACCAAAGGAGCTCCTGACCGAGTCGAAAGGTGAGGCCAAGACATGGGATGTTGAACAAAGGGGGATATGTTCGGCAAAAATGTTGGGTAACTGAATGTAACTTGATGTGACCAGAAAATGTTGCTTTCACCAACAAAAAAGGAATCAGACATGGGGATCTAAGTAACAAGAAGTGTGATTTATGCAACACACAATAACAGAAATTGGGTTTTGTGTACATTTTGACAATGAAAAATGGGAAGTCAAACAGTCAAAAAATTGGTTTTTGAAGCATAAACATGTAGATCTAACTGATCTAACCAACAAAAATAGGAATTTGCACATCAATACAGCGGGGATTTATCGCCAAGAATCATGGTATTTGACAGTCAGAAAATGCGGATGTAAACCAACCAGAAAAACGTGGTGATTTAACATTTAACCATGTCTTGATAGGAATGTAAGCATCTAATTCTCTGGGCAATTGGGATGGAATTTTGTTCACCAGCAATTGGGATTCATCGCCAACAATCATATGGACAATTATTATGGACAAATTGTTTGACAAATTGACAGCCGAAATTCACCAAGAATTGGAGCAATTTGTTGGGAGGGCTTCAGCAAACCAACTCTCCAAATCACTGGGGCCTTTGATGAACCAAACATACCGGGAATCGATGGGCAAAATTCATCGATGGGGAGATCTCGTGCCATGATTTGCGTCGGTTGATGGATAATTTGCAATCCTTACTGGTGCTAAGGGGAATGGGATTATTATTATTATTACTAGTGACTGTGGATCATTCCCTCATTCCCTACTAAGCACCAGTAAGAATCAAATCAATCAAAAATTAATCAATCTTGATCCATCCATCTATGATTCTTCTGTTTGATGGTGACAAAATTATCAAATTGTTGTCAGCTGGGCTGAAAAAAAGTTGTTGATCGGGAGCCTAAGCTGGTCGTATGATTAAGATGCTTGTGAACCACCGCTGAAATGTGTGGATTCATATTTTGAAACTATGTGATGAATTGAATACACCAACCGTGGGTATGCCTGTGGGCGGGGGCAAAAAGGACTGACTCCGTTTCGTCTTGGGAGGGTGACCATCAGGACGACGAGGATGAGGACGACGAGGATGAGGACGAAGATTGCGGTCTATTGTGGTAGCTGTGATATATGTGGAATGATTCATGGTTGAAATAATTGCAGTAAACTCCAATAAGTGCAATCCTAGTAATAGTTAATAGTGATTTAGATTCCGATGATGGTTGTAGTCATGATGATTGTGATTATCTTAGGTTCTCTTCAATAGATCATTCTGGAAGCACTGCCTCTCCTGATCTTTGGATCTGCTCCCATCAACAGCAGCATTCGCACCAGGTGCGGGCAACCATAGGCCGCAGCGGCATGAATTGGGTATACCACTTCCTCAGGCTGCATCCCGCTTCGCCCCCCTTCGCTTCGCTGCTACCGTTGAACTGTTGTGGAGTCACTGATCCTTGTTGAAGAATCTGTTGGTATCAGTGCTTCCCCACCGAATGATTCTTGTGGTTTAAACCCATCCATGGGATTTTCTTCTCAGTAAACTCTACAGTGTTTAACCCATATCGTCTCCCCTGGACCATCCGGAAAGTTATCTGGGACAAAACATGGGGGGCTTGAAAAAGCACACATTTGGGTCACAAGACCAGAGGAAAAAATGAGATGTTCACATCCCAAATTGATCCCCAATGATGCATTCTCCAGCAAAAATGAGCTGGCTTTTGTCATTTTTGTCATCGTCTCAAGATAGAGTACTCCAAAAAATCTACTGCGACTAGTCATCATTGTCCACATTAAACTTGACATTTTATTGGGGGCTATACCATGCTATACCCCCATTTTCAGACACCCAATAAACTAGCTCTGAAAACAACTCGTAAACTGTTTAGCCATGGGATCTCTAAATTGAGCATGACTTAGCCACTGTTCCAGGTGAGTGTGTCCATTCAACCCCAAAGAAAATGTGTGTGTGTGCTATGGATGTATGCTTGCATGGATGTATACCTGTCTGGATGAATGGATGTATGCATACACGTACGTACGTTTCTTTGTATGTGTGTATGAAATGAAAATAGCCTATGACATACATCATGCTAAAACATTCAGATGTAGTCATTCGGTATCATTCTTTCGGTATCATTCCAGGCATCTGTGTGCGGGCCCATGGAGACGGACAGAGGACTGGAGATGCTCTTGAAACCGTTGGCTTGCAGGAAACTCTGTAGGTACTCCATCTTGGCCCTTGGCGGAGCTGTGAAATTTGCCGAACCCAGAATCCCCATACTTTACGCCACACCACATCAACTGTTGTTCAAGTTTGGAGGGTCAGCACATTTCGTGTTTTGGAGAACGTAAAAAATTGTGGAATGGGTACAATCACCTGGCCTTTTTTAGGATAAAAGGCTCAACATGAAATCATACAACACCAGTGAGGATCATCCAAATATGTACATGAACAACATGAAAAACATCATTAAACACGTTCCCACAAGTTTGATCCACGAACAGGGGTGAAGTTCCGTCAACAGGATTCCTTGTAACAACTTGTCACCCCATTTGCCTAGTAAGTACATAAGATCCAAGCCCGCGTTTCTGGCGTATTTTAGCCTTGAAGGGCTTACTTCATAAGGCGATCTTTGGCCAGACGGCCAGGATGTCTCTGGGGCTGGAAAATATTGGTGGTCTCAGGGGTGAACAAGCCCTGTGACGTTCGGAACCCAGAGGTGACCACCCGATAAGGTCTTGGCAAGGGATTGTTCACCACCCTTTTCTTCAAGGCTTCTTATCATATCTTATGATCTATTTTTGGGGGAGGTCACCCTCCCATGGGTGGTGGTCTTTGACCCCCAGTTTCACTGGTGGCTGAGTTGCTGTTGTCGCTGTTTGCGAGGTACCCGGTTCCTTGGCTTCTTTTCTTGTCTCGGTGCGGAGTCCTTGGTCCTCTTGAGGGTCATAGAAGCAAACCACTTTGCAAATCCTTGGATTTTCAGGACAAGCCGAAAAGCCAAATTTGCAAATCCAAAGAATAACTGAGTAACCACCCCAATCAAATATAAAGAGTTATAAAGCCCCTATTCAAGGTATCATCGACATCAACCCCTAGAAACGCGGCTCATGAAGCTTCGAAACGCCCCCCTATCTCCGTTCAGAGCCGTCCTGGCCTTGGAAGTATCTCATTTGGAGGTTTCCAAAGTCGGGGTACACCCCCAAATCATGCAAGTCATGGATGACTATATTAAAACCTTTGGTGACTTGGGGGTCCTTCATTTTAGAAACCTCCATTTGTTGAAAATAAGTCATGGAACCACCAACCAGATATTGGTTATACATGGTTATACGGTTCTACCCTAGTGTATCCCATCATTGTCCCTGTGATCGCTTGTTCTATCCTTGTTTCTTTGCGCTACACCACGAAATCGCTGGAAACCATTGGAAACCCAACAACCAGAAACTCGGTTATAGATCCTTACATTATATCACGATCATCCCCATGACTATTGGTAAAACATAATGTCATTGTATGTTGCGTATATGATGTATGTGTATCTACATATATATATAATCCTATATACATACATGTGTATATAATATATATATATATATGTATATATTTATATTATATATACTCAATGTACGTGTGGTATATATATATATATATTCGTATGTACGTATGCATGTATGTGTGTGTATGTATGCATGTATGCATGTATGCATGTATGCATGTATGCATGTATGCATGTATGCATGTATGCATGTATTCACATATGCACGTATGCACGTATGCACGTATGCATGTATGCAGTATTTTGTAGCTATGTCAGTGTAGCTATGTCAATGTAGCTAAGTAGGTATATAGGTATGCAGGTCTGTAGGTCTGTAGGGCTGTATGTCTGTATGTATGTCTGTCTGCCTGTCTGTCTGTCTGTGATTCGCGGTTCCAACACCAAAAATATGAGTCTTTGGGATCATCACTCCAAAAAGCTGGAAAACACGCACTAACTACCTATCCCCATGAGATTCCCCAGTTTACCCATGAAATCACCGAGCAAATCCAAGGTCTCCCATGGCGCCGACAACGCAGTTCCACGCGTCACTGAGACGATGAAAGACGGCGAGCTGTTCGGGCGGAATTCGTCGAAGGGTCCACGTCTCTAGGTTTAGAGCCAGCTGCGGTTGCGACAAAGCGGAGATTCCGAGATGATTCATGTATTTTTGGATGAATCTGTGTATGTGCATATGTACATATAACAGATATTAACAGATAATATGTATTTATCAAGCTGCTGGATGCATTCAAAAACCTTGGATGAATCATAGTTTGATAAAACGATGTTTACGAAGGGACCGGCACCATGAAATGCCTCCAGTTCACCAGTTGGCACAGCTCGCTGGTGACAGGGGGGGGGTCAACCATCCAAGGTGAGCCGTTGGAACATCAACCATTGGAACAATTGGAAACACCCCGTTCCCCCAGCCTCTAGCCAAGCATAATCCTGCGGGAAGTTGGTATTCCAGAACTCAGTCAGGGCTGCGAGTCAAGGCCCCTCGATGTGAGCCATGCTTAGGGTACTTAGGGTGGTCACTCTTCGGGATGCTGGAAAATAGAAACCAACAAATATATAAAAGCGATCCGCCATCATTTTTGTCATTTTTGTAGGATCCTTCTTTTCTATCTTTTTTGGAGTTTCTACAGCCAATATATAACGACGGTTTGCTTCGTCATCAATGACTGGGTGCCCCCTGCTTGATGCCTGGCGCTGTGGTGCCAGCCACGACAAGGACATAAGGAGCCACTAGGGGTGGCTTGAACATGTTTCAACCCCCATTAAGGTTGATATTAGCTAGTTAGGACCTTCCTATTTCAAACCACCAGTAGTTGGAGTGGACGAGTTAAGCTTGATAGGCTCTGTTTTAAGAAGGTGTCTTGGCTCGAAATTGGTCTTCTTTTCCCATGGCTGACATGGTTACAAGCCCCAGCGCGGTTTATCTTGAAAGGGATCATGTGGTAAACCATGCTAAACCCAACCCCAAGTTAAGACGCCTAAACCCGAAATAGTAATTATGGTTGTCACTCATTTTTGACTTGAGCACATTCCAGCTTCCACAGTGTTCATGCCACGCCTGTCAGGCACCCGATGGGGTTTGACCCTGGAAATCGCTGCCTGGAGAAAACATTCTGGGATGGCTATGGGTCAAAACCCTAGTACCCTGATTAACCCTAGGTGGAAAACGGATGTTCATCCTCCCAAATATATCCAAATATCACGGTATTATAGATTTTGATCCAACCCAGTATAGTATATAAGCTCTAAAGTTTTCCGATGTCCTTCCATCAGTGTTCCCTGAAGCTTCAAATGAGATCTTGCAACAAAACATCCAGCTGTGTCCTGAGAAATCTCAGCAAAAGTCATCCACATTCTGGGCAAATTCGAATTTACCAAGCCAAAATCAGGTCATTTGAGAGGGGCATGTGCACTGCCAGATGATCTAAATATCCAGTAGCTATGGCAATAAGTGGCTCCATATGTGCGCAGAAACTACGCTCATCTTGTGAGTAGCTCAAAGAAACCTTCACGATCTGTGGATGATTTGTAGTTCATAAAGCTGACATAGGGCTACGTTGAGACTGTTTCAGGTAGCTGCAATTTAACAAATCGCCCTGGGTGAGGCCATTTATATAAGAGGTTGTTGTTAACCATGCCTAATCTTGGGTACTCTGGTACTCTACTTTATAATTCAAAACAGGAATTGCGCATGAACGATTTCCCCAGCGTCCACCTTCAGTGAGAATGTCCTTCGAAACTTTGTCCTGGCAGAACTTGCCATAAATTTCACCAGCAATGGCTTTGGACCCAAATATTTTGGATGCCCCGCCAACGGCAATCTGTGCGGAAAACTGCGTTCATAAACTGTGAAATTTGGGGGTACAAATGTACAAAACATGTTCAGACGTTTTCCTTGATATGAATGGCTTGTAAAACGTAGACTGGCACCGGGTTGAGTCGAAAAAGTGGCTGGAACTCCGGTACCACCAAAGGAAAAAGTCTGATTATTGCCGGATCACCAAAACGATGCAGAGAATAGTGCAATCTTATGCATTGTCATGTACCAAATCACTCTTCAGGGTATACCATTGCTGGATTTAAATTAGAGGTGTCCCCAATTAGATCGAAGATATTGAAGCAATGCTTCCCCACTGTTTTGGTCATGGTTTACTTGTCGATCCTTTTTAAAAGCCCGCAAAGAGAATCCATTAACATCAACTTTATGAACCGTGTGTTGGGACACCCTCCGGTGATCAAACGTGGCTAGCTGGGAAATCCCCGAAGTAAATGGAGGTTTGAATGGGAAAATGATCTAGAAATCACGGGGATTTGTCCAGTGCCACGTTTGATTCGCAGGGGTTCTAGCCACAAATATGTGTATATAATTGTGTACACACATATATACATATATATAATGTATAAATATATATATATACACAATATGTATATACTATTTAAAAAAATATATACATATATACACAATAAAATAACATATAATGTCATATTATATAGAATATAAAATTATATAATATTATATAACATAACATAATAAAATATAATATAGTAATAATACAATATAATATATAATATATAATATATAATATATAATATATAATATAATATAATGTAATATATTTAGTTCATATAATATAGATAAAATAATAAAATATAATATATAAAATATAAAATATAATATAATAAAATGAAATACAATAAAATGAAATATAATATAAAAAATATATATAATATATAATATATAATATAATAACATATAATAACATATAATATGATATGATATGATATAATATAATATAATATAATATATATTAATATAGTAAAATATAATATAATATAATATATATAATATACATATAATATAATATACATATAATATAATAAATAATATAATATATAATATATAATATATAATATATAATATATAATATATAATATATAATATATATATATATAATATATATATAATATTATATAATATACATACAATATAATAAATAATATAATATATAATATAATAAATAATATAATATATAATATATAATATATAATATATAATATATATAATATATAATCTACAATATACAATATATAATATACAATATATAACATACAATATATAACATACAATATATAACATACAGTAATACAATATATAACATACAATAAATAACATACAATATATAATATATAATATATATAATCTAAAAAATATTAAATAATATATAATAAAAAATATTTAATATATAATATAATATAATATAGTATAATATAATATATATAATCAGTATAATATAATAATATATAGCGGTCCAAAAGAATGAGGAGACCGTTTGGGACCCCAAAATCCTGTGATTTCGACGCGCCTTGCTGCTTGTCCTGCAGCCAAACCTCTGGAAAACCTGGGTTGTTCACCCAAGACCCATGAGTGTATGACCAGTGATCAATGGGAGCACGAGAATGGGGAGCGACCTGACTTGGATGTGCATTTGAAGAATTGCAACTCGAGAATGACATGAGAAAGAGTGGACACATCCCACATGTGTACAATACATGCACACATACATATAAGTGGCTTCTCCAATTACTAAACAAAGGTGTCAACAAATTGTCTGTATGAAGTGAAGTGGCCCCCAAAAAAATGTGACTTCAATTGGTGACACTTCCACCATCCTTGTATATCCTTCTACGGGTCAAAAGTGGGTACCACCAAAATTGTTGATGATGATGATGGTGATGATGGTGATGATGGGGAATCCATAACAAACTGTGATCAAAGAATATCTCCAGGTCCAAGCATGCAGGATATCCAATCCTAGCCAATTTCACATGATTTATCGATCAATTGGTATTTGAAAAAATGACTAGTTGGTGGCTTCAAATATTGGTACGTGCCAATGGAATGCTAAGGAAAATCCTCCGGTTTATGTACTTTTCTGAGCCATGGGTCAATGCTTTTTTTTGGCGGGGGAAATATCTGTAGAAAATCTAGGTCGGTTTTTAGTCAAAACTGGGGCTGCAAATGTTTTCTTCTAATTCTGGAGTGGTGTAACAGTGTAACGGAAAAGAGAAAAACCCTATGTTGGGAAAAACCATCCCCAATCCCTATAATCTATATAAACCCTATGTTGGTTTTCTGTAGATTTTCTGCGTAAACCAATCCATTGCTTCTGAGCCCCCCTGCAGACCGTAGCTATGCCTCAGAGGCGTTCACGCTTTTTGAACACTTCGCCGAGACGCCCCATTGGCGAAAGCCAGAGTTAGACAAAGATGCTGTTGAAATCAGGAAAAATAACTAATGAATAGCACTAATTAGATACTATAACTTAGATCTTAGATATTATTAGATACTATTAGTGTATCCACATTTATGCACTAATTAACCTGAAAAGCGCGGCTATATTGGGATAGTTACCCCTTACCATCATTCCAGAGTTCGGTTGCAGTGAGGTCGTTATAATTTACCCAGATGTATAGCTTCCAGCGGTCGGCGCAGGATTTCCGATGTCATGGCCATGTGTGGTTCTGGATTTCCGATGTTTCAACTGGGTGTTAAAGCCCCAGAAAACACTCATAAACATCAAGATATAGTAGCTGCTATGATCTTCCGCAATGATGGTCTCCTGTCTCCATTCTATACCTCGATTTGTTGCTGGACTTTTTTTTCCCATGACCTTCTCAGTTGATCGGGTATAGGTCCACATACGTTACGCAGCCAGCACCACTCAACAGGACCGCAAGGAGACCCAGATGATCACTTAGGTCGCCCAGCTCACCACTGCCGCCACTGTAAGTTTTGGTGTTGTCGGCTCCTCGCAGGCCCTGCACAGCGCCGCGTTGGCGGCGGTTCAAGTTTTGGGGGAATCCAACAGCCGCTTGGTTTTTTGGGGTGACAGCCAGAAGTTCAAGAAAGAACTATCCAATATATCAAATATATAGATGGTAGAGAAAAAAAGACGGGGAAAATCCGATCCAAAAGTTTGGGAAAATAAAAAGATGTTGTATAGCTCACAGCCCAAGATTTTGAAGGCGATGATGGTGGTTTCACCTCATTGGCCCACACAAAATGCCATGCATTGGGGGCAAGTCCATATTCCCTAACCCACCAGCCTCCAACAGGGTTTGTTACCTCAAATCACTAGCAACATCCTGATGTTTTTTGAGTTTGTCCAACAAAAAATGGGACAACCCCATCAATTTGCGTATCACTTTCTTCATTCTAGGGTTGATAAACATTCAGATCAAGTTATACAACACCTCAAAAGATGTTGAAAACCCGTTTATCCTAGAGACTCAGGAACTTCTAAAAATATTATATATATATATAATTATACAACACCTCAAATATGTGTATATATATACAGTATATACAGTATATATATATACTGTATATGTATATATGCATATAATGATTTGTTCCAAATTATATCCCAGATTTCTTCTGTCCCGTCACCTTGGAGTACGTCGGCAACTCGCCCAAATCTGGTGGCCACGGTTGGAGAAAATGCGCTTGATTTTGGAGTATAGCAGCCTACAAAAAGTTGAAGTTCGCAAAATCATGTAAAATCCGACATAAAATTGTTCAAATCATGGCAAAGTACACCTTTTCATATCCTTTTTGGGTGTTTCTATAGAGATTTGAGGTGTTTGAATCGAATTGTTTATGATTGACCGCACTATGTTGCCGGGATCTGCCAGATCTTTCTGAAGTTGGTGACGTGCAAGATGGGTCTACTTTTTAGATGGGAACAGAACACTTCACACGTGTAGAACATAATATGGAACCAAGAAAAAGTCCAGGTGGTTTTTGTGTTTGTGTGTGTGCGTGTATGTGTATATATATATATACTACATAACTAACCAAATATAAAGATTCATAGCTAGATAAAAACAATAAAAATAAATAAATAAACATACATATATAATATATATAATATATATATAATTATGGATAGATATGAATGAATAATGAATAAAGGAAGGAAGGAAGGAAGGAACGAAGGAAGGAATGAAGGAACGAAGGAACGAAGGAACGAAGAAACGAAGGAACGAAGAGGAAAGAAGGAACGAAGAGGAAAGAAGGAACGAAGAGGAAAGAAGGAACGAAGAGGAAAGAAGGAACGAAGAGGAAAGAAGGAACGAAGAGGAAAGAAGGAACGAAGAGGAAAGAAGGAACGAAGGAACAAATGAACGAATGAACGAATGAAGGAACGAACGAATGAATAGATAAATGAAAAATGGACTAATAAATAAACAATAATAAAAAATCATAACAATGAGTTATAAAGATATGTGAATGTTGATTACTGTATATCACTGTATATACCCTGGGATAGCGTTGAAATTCCACCCGAAAATAATGATGGTTTCTTCAAATGAGGGGGATCCCCAAGTCACCATGGGTGCCAATACTAATTCATGGCCTAATGATATCCATAACATGTCGTGCCAAAAAAAAAAAATGGCGTGAGGATCACAAATAACCAATGGTCAATAGCTTGCGGCTACGTTGTCCGAGGCAGTCCAGGGTTCTAGGCGGTAGCCCTATGTCCATCATCAAAGTTTCTGGCCAGATAAGCCTTGTCAAAGATGGAGAATGGAGGCATTTGAAATATGTTCTTATTCATATATCGTGCAGGCATACCTACACACATGGCCACATGCATTGGTACAAAGCGTCCATAAATAGAGACATCATCATCATCATCATCATCATCATCGTCATCGTCATCGTCATCGTAATCGTCATCGTCGTCGTCATCATCATCACCATGATCAACGTACAGGCATACCGACACACATGGCCACATGCATATGTACATAGCATCCATAAATAGAGACATAATCATCGTCGTCGTCGTCGTCGTCATCATCATCATCATCAACGTACTGGCATACCTACATACGTGGCCACATGCATTGCTACAAAGCGTCCATACATAGAGACATCATCATCATCATCGTCGTCGTCGTCGTCATCATCATCACCATCATCAACGTACAGGCATACCGACACACATGGCCACATGCATATGTACATAGCATCCGTAAATATAGAGACATCATCATCGTCGTCGTCGTTGTCGTCATCTTCATCATCACCACCATCATCAACGTACAGGCATACCTACACACATGGCCACATACATATGTACATAGCATCCATACATAGAGACATCATCATCATCGTCGTCGTCGTCGTCGTCGCCGTCGTCATCTTCATCATCAGCATCATCATCATCATCATCATCATCATCGTCGTCAGCAGCCTCCTCATCATCATCCTCATCATCATCAACGTACAGGCATGCCTACACACATGGCCACTTGCATTGGTACATAGTGTCCATACATAGAGACATCACCATCATCATCACCATCATCATCATCACCATCATCATCATCGTCGTCCTCCTCCTCAACGTCACCATCATCACCATCATCATCATCATCATCATCTCATCATCATCATCATCGTTGTCGTCGTCATCATCGTCATCATCGTCATCATCATCATCAACAACCTCATCATCATCATCATCATCATCATCATCATCATCATCATCATCATCATCAACCTCATCATCATCATCATCATCATCATCATCATCGTCATCGTCATTGTCATCGTCATCGTCATCGTCATCGTCATCGTCATCGTCATCATCATCATCATCATCATCATCATCCCACTTCTTGAAAAACACAGTAAACATCTCAAAGATACAATCAACCACCTCAGACATTGCTTATACCCAATGCTATGCCATCATCAAACACCTCTTCTTGGGGTCGGGTCACTCCATGTCTCCGGAAAACAAACGGGCGCCTGATTCTGTCAGGCTTTCTGGCAACGAGATGCGTACCCGAGCGCTCTGGCCATTCGTGGCAGAGATCATCTGGGTACTATGGAACTACAATTGGGATAATTGGGATAAAACTAATGGGAACAATTGGGATAATAATTTGGATAATTGGAGGAAAAAAACACTAATACTGGGAATCATTGGGGTATAAAACCATGAATAATGGAAATATCATGGGAGACGATGGGATACCCTCTTGTAATTTTTGACACAGCGAAGTGAAAAATCATCGGTTTTTGGTTTATCATCGAACTAAACAGGCCATGTTCAAGCTATGTTGAATTGCCAGAGGGTAATTGTGCTAATTTGGATAATTGGGATGATTGGGTGGAAGGGATGGAATAAGAAGTAATTGTTCAATGTCAGGTGTCATACGAAAATCTTGATTCCTCATATTGTCGGACAGCCGTTTTTGTACCGGTCATATTGTCGGCCGAGCTGCCCCATGTTGCTGCCGGTTACATACCTAGTGTGTAAATATTGATTGATTGATCTATCATCACAGGTATCATATGTATAATTATCACAGGTATTGATTATTAACATTGATCATTATCAATTATAAATAAGTGTGCTGATTCCAGGCTATCATCACAGCGTCGCTTAAACTCTTCTTGTTACGACACTGTTCTGTTCTAGTTATAGATGATTTACCATGATGTGCCTATGGTTTCCATGCTGCCCGGCGCCCACCTCCTTTCCCTGCGGCGTTCCCCGTGCTTCTTGCGAGGTCATGGCTGACTTCAATACCTCCGAGGCCTGCATATATCGTTGGTTGAGGCGAGTTGAACATCCATAGTTGATCATCGTTGATCATAGTGGTTGGATACCCTCTGGTAAATTAACATAGCTATGGTTTAAATCACCATTTTTAATGGGTAAATCCACTATTTCTATGGCCATTTTCAATAGCTATGTTAAATTACCAGAGGGTATGATGTATAAATGGTCCCTTCTCCCACGGCTAAAAGAAGCTTTTTGGGCTTTTTGATGGCAAAAAAAAACCTGTGCGCTTGGGTAACTCCCCTGCTTTGTTGCGTAGAATCTGTCAAAAACGTAGCAAATGCTGGTCACTCCCACAAGTCTTGTTGGTCAAAACAGTCATTTCCAATAATCATATCACAATACATTGCCCATAGATTGAGTACATAAAAATCCCAAGAAACCCAGAATTATGGGTGTGTGTATCTCATGAAAATCAAATAGATATGCAAGATCTTTATACGTACAGTATATCCCAGCTATTATTAGGTTTACCACTGCTGTGGTGGATATCCGGTAATTATATCAGATCATTTTGAGTTTTACAAATTGTTGGGATTGGTACTGGGTCATTGGTATCAGGTCTAGATTTCAATCCCGTTTCATTCGCATCAATATCCAGTAAATATCGTGCAATCTTATGGTTTCATTCCCCTCCCATCCTTTTCCAATATTATGGATGACATAATGACATAATCATGTTTTATCGCCATATCACATTCCATTCCCCCACATAGCTAAAATCATGGGGCCGAAATTTATCATAGGTGTCTTCTCGATTTCAGCACAACCAGCAACTTCACAGTTAAATTTGAAACTCCATTTCTATAGAGAAAATCTTGGGGAAAAAATTAAAAAACTCAAATTTGGTGTTCAAATTGTCAGGCACCAAACCCCCCAAAAAAATCCACTCCGACCTCTTGAGTTTCCCTGACCCCTTGGGAGGAAACCATGGTCGAGTCGGATTCAGGCCTGGACATCAGAAAACTCACAACGCACAAACAGATACAAAATACTTGACTGATTTTCGTGTTTCCCCGTGTTTGACGGAAGCCTTGTAGGAATTCTATGAAAACTCCATTTCAGACTTTGCCTGGTAAAACTATGGTAAAAACGCTGGCTGTTTGCCTTCAATTTTTCGCTGGAAAAATCCATGGCAGCCATAGATCCCCAGAGTAAAAACTCATTTTGCAGCTGGGGTTGGACCAATCATTGAAGGACTTCCAAAATACCCTATGGTAATCACCATGGTTAATAATAAATCACACTTTTTTAAAATAGAAACATCACCATGTTTAATAGAGACATAACCGTTTTGAATAGATTAAACATGATAAAGCCCAATTTTTAAGTTTTAATGCTACATCAGTAAGACGATCCTCAAAAAAAAAGTTTTTATCGCCGGTCAGGCCTCTCCATGTCCTCTTCAAAGTCATGTTTCATGGATTCCTGGCACTTGGACTGCGACTGGAGTGGAGATCTACTTGGGATCTGGGTCTAAAGTAGAAGGGTAGATCTACTGGGATCTAAAATAAAATTTCTGCAGATCTACTTGGACTACTTGGACTACTTGGGATCTAAAATAAAATTTCTGCGAAGTCAAAACGAATGGCAAAGGGTTGGTTTAACTGGTTTTAAGTTTTTGATCACATGTGGCCAAGAAATGGAATATCAGGAATATCATATCCAATGAGGGTGTCGAACCATGAAGGCTTCAAACTTGGAGGGTTTCAAGCCTACCTATCTATGCATGATATGCGTACCTGTACCTCCATTCAAATGACCAACCGTGCATGATGATAATTAAGGGGGGGCAAAACGGTTGGCCAACAGGGACCCAGAGATCAACCGGTAGCGGCCCTTCTTCGTGCGGCTGTTGTAAAATAGATGTGTAAACGTTTGGGATCAAAATGTCAAGAAAACAAATACGCCAACAATGTCCGTATCATTTGGCAAAACATTGGGCTGTAGTTCCATCTCTAATGGTTACATCATCCGTCTCCTTTGGTTCCGTCCCCATGTTGGTTGGCTGCATCTGCCTTTTGCTATTGGTCATATCCCTAGGTTTCTTCCTCCAATCCTCATTTTTGCGGGGTTCAATCCCATGTTTTCGTTTGCCAAAGACACATGATTCACATTGTCTATCTCCTTAGTCTAGATCGCATTAGTATGCAAATTTCATCAATCCTGATCAATTGATCGCATCAGAGGCCCCAAAAAATGAAGCATAATGAAGCCAATCTTCCCAGCAGCCCAAGTGGTAGTGGATGAACCAATGGAAAAAGGGAAAGAAAACGTCAGTTCAGCAAATCCAGTTTTATCTTCATGTACATAGCCCATGTTTGGTTGTATACATCCCCCTCCACCGTTGTCGCCAACCTCTAGTGCTTCAGCATGCAAATGACTCATCCGCGTCTCCTACGCGCGCTGCCCGTCCCGAGATCTTGGGATGAAAAAACGGCAGTTGACCCAGCAGCCTGAGGGGAAAAGGGGTGCCTGAACCATCCAAAAAAGGGATAGCACCCAGCATAATCTGTGGATTCAACTGTGTATCGAAAGAATCTCAGAAACATTGCTAATCTTACCCTGCAAACATCTATTTTCGACCTTGCCATCTCCCAGAAACGAACATAGATCCTGAGAATTTCGGCCAGGAGTCTTTCAACTGCCAGGGCCCTACATAGCAGATAGTACACGCTTGTTGATACTTGTATAGGCCTCATAGATTATCACAAATCTCAGATCTCCAAATAATATGAAATTTCAATGCTGGCATTAGATTCCGCCAGCCTGCCGGCGTGTCTGATTGGAAGGTGTTGTTTCTGTTTTCTGGTCTTGGCTTGCACTTGTTCCTATGTTCTCTTGCTACGCGTTTTTGCTTCGTCTGAATCGTGTCCACCCCCTTCCCCCTAAGTATAATTATAAGCATAAGTGTAAGAGGAAGTATAAGGAAATTACACGTATAAGTATAAGTACAAGTTTAAGTATACGTATATATAAGTATGAGTATATAAGTATAAGTATAAGCATTACCGCTGTTGCTCCTGCTGCTACTCCTGCTGCTACTCCTACTCCTACTCCCACTCCCACTCCTTTCTTCTTCCCAAAGTACTAAACCAGTAGTGCCAGTAGCCAGCGAAACTGTCTACAGCACTACAGTCGTCTACCGGTACTTTTCACAGGACGTGCACGGTACTAAACTGATTGACCTGTACTCATTTGGTATGTGGTCAATAGGTTGTTAAAGTAAGCACTTGCAAGCCAAGCTGCTTCTGATCTACGGCTCTGTCTTCGTCTCTTCTTCTTCTTCTTCTTCTTCTTCTTCTTCTTCTCTTCTGCTTCTCTCTCCGGCTTCCACCTAGAGTGCACATCAAACTCCCTTGGGGCCACCTCTCTATGGCCGGCGGGCTTGCCGCGGGCAATTAAATATTAAGTTTCAATGCTGGCATGATATTCCTATATTATGTATATGTGCGTGTGTGCTTACTGAACACATCCGAAAGAAGGTAGGATATGTTTGATTAGCCCATCCTCAATACGAGCCAAAAGCTCCAACCCAACAAAGAGACTGAAAGAAAAGAAACAGAAACACCATTTCAAAACACATGTACGTTGACTATACGGAAACCACCTATATGTATCATATGTATAATATATACTACATACCCTCTATTATATATACATGTAACCATGCTCATGTATCATAGAGAAATATAAATAATATCTCGGTCGGTTCAGCAGTGGTGTCTGAGTCTCAGCCGTCCTCAAGTCGACTAACTTCTCGATTACCTCGGAACAAATTGGGAGCTTCGAAACTCAGATAAAACATGAGAGTTTGATCGCCAGCCATAATACGGATCTTTCCTAAATGGTGGGTACCCCCAAATCATGCATTTGTTCATAGGATTTTCCATTGTAAACCATCCATTTTGGGGTACCCCCATTGTAGGAAACCTCCATACTGTGGATGGTCGCAAAATCCTGCACCAGTTGGCAACTACTGGTAGCTATGAAACACTGTAAATGGGGATAATAATGGGATAAACCATCTACCTATATACTGGTGCAGGATTCTTCCATCCACAGTATGGGGATATTATTGGGATAGATAAAATCATTAGTTCATTATAAATTCTGGAATCATGGCGAAGAAATAGGTTAACCAAGGTCTTACCTTCAAATGGTTTGCTGGAAGGTCCCTGATGGGTCAAAATTGAAGCAAAACACTGGGATATGCGTGGTAGAGCTTAGCCACCTGCCACCTGCCCCATGGGCTAGTCATTTTTCAGGAGGGAAGGGATTATTTGAACCCACTAGGTTCGAGCTTTCTTGAAGAGTCATGAGAATTGGTGGAAGAACCACTATTAGATAGATGTCTACAGAAATATATGTATATATATATACATATATATGTATATATATATACATATGTGAGTATGAGCTTGACACGAGACCATGACGATTCTTTCCCCTCTGCACAGTCTTGAGCTGTCGAAAATTCCCAGCCAGGGTCTTTGTGAAATCTGCAGGGTCTTTGGTTCATATTCTTCTGAAATAGAGACGAAGTCTGGTTCCCACCTGCAACTGCACCTGGGCAAAAGCTACTGATTCACTGGTGATTTTCATCCAAAACCGACATATTTCAGATAGGAAGCTTCTGGCCTCCGGAAGGAGGTCGTTTGGCCCCATTTATGGCTCCAAATCTGCACCAAAAGACATGGGAATGGGTCAAGAAAAACAATGGTACCAGAGCCTCCTTGGATAGTTCAGTACCTCACCGACCGTTTCTTCCGAACTGCAGCCGTCTTTTGATCTACTTTAACACCAAAATAATGCGTATTTATATATATAGGGACAAAGAGAGAGAGACAGATATATATATATAGATATATATATATATATATAGTGTGTATATATATAGATATATATATATACAGATAGATAGATATACGTAGATATGGATATAGATACATGGATGTTGAATGGAATGCATATTTCTGTACCTTGAAAATTTGTTTCTGTTGTGTTTATGTGTATGAATGCGAATATTTATATATATAGTGCTTATACATGTATGTATTTATGTATGTATGTATGCATGTATGCATGTATGTATGTAATGTATGTATGTAATGTATGTATGTAATGTATGTATGTAATGTATGTAATGTATGTAATGTATGTAATGTATGCATGTAATGTATGTATGTAATGTATGTATGTAATGTATGTATGTAATGTATGTATGTAATGTATGTATGTAATGTATGTATGTAATGTATGTATGTAATGTATGGATGTAATGTATGTATGTAATGTATGTATGTATGGTAATGTAATGTAATGTAATGTAATGCAATGTAATGTAATGGAATGGAATGGAATGCAATGTATGTGTGTGTGTCTGTATGTATGTATGTATGTATGTATGCATGCATGCATGGATGGATGGATGGATGTATGCATGTATGCATGTATGCATGTATGCATGTATGTATGTAATGTATGTAATGTATGTAATGTATGTATGTAATGTATGTAATGTATGTATGTATGGTAATGTAATGTAATGTAATGTAATGTAATGTAATGTAATGTATATGTATATGTATATGTATATGTATGTATATGTATATGTGTATGTGTATGTGTATGTGTATGTGTATGTGTATGTGTATGCATGCATGCATGTATGTATGTATGTATGCATGTATGCATGTATATAAATACATGTTTATCTATTTATACAGCTGGTATCGAAATGGAGTTTCATTCCCCAAAGTGGGCCAAAGATGGTCTTACAGCTATTTAGCCGTCCCCACTACAGGCACCACTTTCCTCTCAACAGGCCCCCAAACAATGGCAACAGCTTCCATTCTGCGCTGCTAACCCTTGCCCCATGGCGGTGGCAAAAGGTCGGAAAGGCTGCAGGACGACACGTTTTGCAAGTGTGAAATCTGGGTCAAACTACAAGGCGGATTGCGCCTCAAGGGGAGGTGAGGCATGGCATGTAGATCTGGCTTCCAGAGCTTTTTTCCACATCTTTGTAAGAAACAGCGCTGGGTGCAAGAAACATCATGCTGGCATCGTGAGCCGCTGGAGCCAAGCGGTTTCATTGCGGGGCCAAGCGATCGGCCAGGGGGTACCTGAAAATTGGGGGTACCTGAAATCATGGCCATTTCATGGGGAAAATGTTTTTCTCAACCAGTGGACTTGGAGAAATTGGGGTACACTGCATTTTCCGACAAACCCATTTTCGATGCTTGAACCCAGTGGAGTCTGATTTCAACTCAGTCTGACGTGTCCATCAACGACAAAATATGATAGAACTAGAACTCACTAAAATCTAACTACATGGATATTGTGAATTAATTATAGTGAATGAGCAACAATGGCTATATGACGACTGATGAGAACTGGAGATGTCCAAACGAAATTCGGTCACCTGGGTGCGCTGAGCTGTTCATCAGTCTGGTTTTCTTTGAGATGCTACCATTAAAGTTGTGTTGTGGGCTTATGAATCCCATTTCCAGATACAGTTGGGAAAACCCTAAGCTTCACGTGTTTGGGATATCAAAACATAAACGCCCAAGTGGACTCCCCAGAACTTTCGGGGCTGGTGCCTCGTGGTCATGGGAACCGCAGTCAAAGCATCGGCTGTTGCTGGGGTCCTACAGGAGAAGTCTCGGGAAAGGTTGATGTTCCCATGAAGAGTTGGGAGTTTCTCGCAAAGAATTGAGATGTTCCTCCTAAAAATGGATTTCTTGGACCAGGCTTGGCGGCTTGGCATGCAAATTTGATCCTCAGTTTGATCTCAACCATTTTGTCCGAAAATGATCTAGACCTGCACATAGACCTGCATCTGTATGCATATGCTACTGCATATACTTTATACTGTATGATACAGAATGTGCGTATTTATAATCAATGTAAAGTGATATGAGTGCTACATGTAGTGGGCGGTACGACATGATGCTGCAAAATCATCCTATCAATTGGGTCGTCCCTTGGCTTTTCCCGGCCGCTTTATACGTTGCCACAAGACCATCTGTGGGTCTCAGTAAGATCCCCTGCACTGGGACTTGGCCATGGAACATATTCCATTTACACCAAGTCATTTCCCATCAAAAATGGACCCGAGTGACTCAAAGTTGCTGACCCCCTCCGAAAAGCTGACCAGCCAGTGTGTGAATCCCTTCATACCCCATCTGGCGTCGGCCTTCGCTACAATGGCCTCGAAGCGGGGCTTCAAGGCATCTTGCGGCAGCGTGGGTTCCTTCCCCTGCGCGTGAGGCAAGGCATCAAAAATCACCAGTTGGATTAGTTGGTATAAACAATGGAAAATCCCCATTTATATTTTTTTGAGTTGATGTTCCCATCAAAAGCCTCCATGGCTAGTATATATTTGGTGATAGTTGATGGTTGATAAGAACTATATACGGGTATGGGTCAAAATTGAAGAATGCGGTAAACCCAATAATAAACAATCTCCCAAGTCACGATAGATGGGTGGTAAAAACCATGCACAAATGGCAAGTTTATTATTGGGTTTCCCGCACTGCTAGTAATAACATGTACTGTAATAACTAACTGATGTAGTTGGATTTCTAGTATATTGGAATCATATGGTAGTAGTTGATGTAAATACCATAGCACTACTTCATTGTGATACCATGTATGGTATGATTTGGATTAGTTGGGATAGTACCATAGTAACAACTGGTACAGTTGATATAGTATAGTTGGTGATAGTTGGTTATATTATATGGTAGTAGTTGATATAATACCGTTGGAAATAGTTGGTATTAGCAGCTGTAGCCCTACGTTACAATAGGTTATACTTGGTATTGGTATTATAGTTGGTAATAGTTGGTACAGTAATAATTGGAAATAGCTGGTACTAGTTGGTAGTGATTGGTACCTAGGGTAATTTTTAGCAAGTACAATTAGGTCGGTGGTAGTTGATAATAGTTGGCATCAGCTGGATTGACCAATGCGGTTGACATGTTGACAGCAAGCTGGTAGTTTACTTGGCAATGCTCAATAATACTGTACTGTACTAGACTTCACCTTGATGAGTTTTACAGTAGGTAAGAGCAAGCTGGTAATACTACAGTGGTTAATATTGACACCATTCGATTGGCATTCCATTTTATCTCCCCATTTGGAGGTTTCCTGAAATGGGGTACCCCTAAATCATCAATTTTAATAGGATGTTCCAGTATAAACCATCCAGCTATTGGGGATCCCCCATTTATGGAAAACCCATTTACACAATGTTACCATCTCTCCAACTGACATGACGACCCTGCCATGTTTAGGCGATCGGAAGACTACCTTCCTCCAAAAATGGCTGGACAAACCCAAAGTATGTGTATTTTTGTTCATGTACCCATTTAGGGTTGTGTATGACCAAAGTAATGATATCAATGTAATATTGCTACCGACTGGACAATAGAAAATATCAATGAATTGGACTAGTGGTTTATATATTCAGGGAATCGACCAAAGTATGAATGAATTGGCTTGTTTGAAACTAAATAATTATACCAACTCGAATCTGGATATGATTGTTGGATATGTATATCCAATATATGTAGAATATTGGGGTTATAACCAAAAAAGCAACCTTTATCAAAATTGCCTTACCTCGTTCGCACCATTGAATGTGCCATATCTTGGCCAGATCCCACTTTGCAGATCGGAACGGGTGCAAGTTTATGAATAGGTTCAAGTCTGGAGGCGATCCAGACCCTGGATGTCTTAAAAATTACAAAACACGAAGAATGTGAAAGATGCTTCGCCGATTCTTCAGATGTTTGAATAATCTCCATATAGGAAGGTGAAGTACACACAGCCTCAACAAACCATCAGTTCATATTGCACAGCGATTTCACAGCGCTTGTCCGCTCACTCTTTTCCTCCCGGCCAATTGGGGCATCTGAATCCCTCATTCGTCCCTGTGCAGCGGCAACAGATCACAAACGAACAGACAGAGATGGGTGGATTGATAGGCCAACACATGGATACGCATCATCTGGTTGTCTATCAGTCTATGGAAACCCCTGTGCAGATATCTACAATGCCACTGTCCACTGTCCGTGTCCACCTGTATGAATCTATGTTGCATGTGCAACGTATATTCTTGTGTATATCGGTAATTCAAAATATATAGATATGAACATCACTAATTGAGTAGGTAGATCGTGGTAGATCATCAAACAATAGGCCACTTTCCAGAGCTATCTTAAATTACCAGAGGGTACATCGTTCCACAGAGTGACTTTCTTGCAAGAAAAAAAGAATCAGTCGTTGAAGTTTTTTCCAACCCCAGATGCGAGGATGTTGCTAGCCTGTTGGGCATGTCCAAAAGTCGGGTACCCCAAAATCCCAATTACAAATATATCCCAGCACAATCAATCGTGGCTAGCTGGGAAATCCCCGAACTAAATGGCTCTGCTGGGAAAAACATCTATTTTTATTGGTGGATCTTCCAGCACGTGCGTGAAGACACCGGAGGTACCCCTGCGACCGACTGTCTCTCAGTGGATTTTCCATGGCGTCCACATATCCATGTAGAATGCGTATATGAACACAACTTGTCGCTAAAGTCTATACAGTGTTTAAACTACCGCATTTCTGCAAGCATCTTGGAAAAAGGGTGTAGACTGTACATGTTTGTGCTGTCATAGACTAGCTGAGGGTTGGGTTTGGGTGCTATGCTGGTTGTTACGTGGACGTCAATGCTGGAATAGCATGATATACAATAGATTGATATACGTCCCCCTGCCTGGTTATCCGGTTTCCTGATATTTCAACGCAAACTCTTGGGTGTACAACTTTGCAACAACTAAGAGGTATTGGAAGTACCCTCTGGTGAACTAACATAGCAATTGAAAATGGCCAGAAATAGTGGATTTTCCCATTAAAAATGGTGATTGTCCATGGCTATGTTAGTTCACCAGAGGGTAAACAAATAAACAGAACATGGAAGGACTGGTTGGTCACCGATGAGAATCCTGGATTACTCCAGGATGGTAGCGATAAAAATCCAACTTTTGACCATGGCACAGATGATTTTTTTCATGTGGCGTATCCAATAAACCTACCATAAAAGGATCCATAAAAGGATCCTCAAATATAGGATGTTGGGAATGGTTTATGGATTGGTTTATGGCATTGGGCTTACCAAATTAGCCAAGACCTCGCGGTAAAACATCTGAGCAGTGATCAAATCCTCCGGCGTTCTGTTCAGTTTTAGTGGTTTTTATATGGATTCGCAGCATGGATCATGATTATCCTCAAGTAAATTGTGGGAGAACTTCCTATCATCAAGCAACCAGGGTTTCGGAACCTGTGACAATTTCACCCTAACGATCAGATCGCCTCACGTTCTCGGTCTGCAAACCCTTGAAGCTCTCGACCGGCACGTGTTGCACCAAAGTGAACATCCTGGTCGGTGCTCCGTTGCCAACTGGCAGCACCATGGCTTCGAAGGTAAGTATATAATGGGGAAATCAGTTGAGAACTTGTGGTTTTATAGTAAATATATGTATATAAATATAGGTAACAGGATATGTAGAGATCATGGCTTCTAGAATGTTTCCGTTAATTCGGCACACATTATCCAAGGCAAGAAGCGTGCTATTTCGGGTTGGAATTATCCCCCTGAGTCCCTTAGTTCACTGAGTCCTAAAACAATCAGATACTGAGGAATTGAGCCACTGCAATTGTCAACCTGACCAGTGACTTGAAAAAAACAACCATAGATAGCCAGTAGCGGGTCCCAAAAAGAAAGTGATCACTTCTATACATTTTTTTCGGTATGAGGCTTACAGCTGCTTTCAAAGCTAGAGGCTGCCCCAAAACAAGACCAATACGGGTCTGTTCATTGAAGAAGAGCCTACAAGAGCATGACTATGAGTAGACCA